AGTACTGTATAGAGTTATCAATTTCCAACACTACCTGTAAAACTCAAAGCTGGTACTGCCATAGGGTAATAATATGACATTTTTGGAACAAAGTTTACAAAGACAATATGAGAAAAATATTAGACATATCTTTCTTTGATTTGGTTTGATCTGTACTTCTGTTCTTTAAAGCTGCACGCCTCCAGATGAGCAAAAATGTTTCAAAAATTTAACCTTTAAAAAAAATGTATTAAGATCTTATGAAAAGTAAACAGATTCAATATTTCATTAATCATTTACGATTTATTATTGATTTTGCAGTATCAATCACTATAACGCAGTAAGAGGTATTTATGTATACCGGTATTTTTATCTCTTTTTGGTTATTTACGTGGATTGCAAGTGTTTTTTGCAATGTGTAAATTATCTTCTTTTTTCTCTTCACAATATTTTACCGTTAAAATCATTTGCAAAATTTTCATGAAAATTAGCATGAATCTAAAGCAGTTTGACCCTTTATTGGACTTTTCACGTATATTTTAAATAAAGGTATTGTTGTGATCCTGTATATTTCTACAAACTGCTATTAAGACAGAGAAAAGGGAATCGCTAAAGAACGTCCAAAACGACAAAACTGTATATGTTGCAGGCTCGGTTTGATTGAGCCTGTTCATGGACGGTACTCAGATTTGCAAGTTACCGTCCCTGCCCATAGCACCGCTTTAAGCAAAATTCAACATTCAATTATGGTAATGGTGAAATTTTTAATTTAAAACCATCCGCTTATGTGTTCCTACGGCGGTTATCATGGAACATTTCATTTAAAGCGGCGTATGGTCCTGAATTAAAACAATGCATGTGCACTACAGCCTTACCAAAGGGTATCCTACAATACCTTGAATATTTAAAGGGGATGGGGGAAGGTGTTGTGGTTTTGTGTCATTCTCTAAATAACTGTTGTCACACAAAATGAGACAAAATATTAAGAACAATGGGAAATGATAAGGATGTATATATTTATAAAAAAAAATGTCAAAGTTACATTATTTTAAAATGAATTAACACTAGTACTTTATCATGCTTCATTCTTTTTAAAACATAAATATTAAATAAAGTAACTCACCGGTAATTTACTCGCTACAAAATAGAGCGTCCTGTCTAAAGCATTTCCTGTTTATTTAAACTTGTAAAGATAAATTCATAAAAATGATAGACCGTAAAATCTATAAAATTGTTCAAAATGTAAGGTTATCATGTTACTGCCGATTAAATAACTTTTGAATACTGTAGTTTTAGGCTGTTATTTCGTTTTGATTTTCAAGTTTAAACGGATTATTTAAGTGAATGAAGAAAAAATAAATCTCAGTAGAAAATACAAAATCAAAACCTAACATTAGCATGAGAGTGGTCGTGACCATAATGGTAGAAATTGAATACAAAGAAATCCTGCACACGATGAATGATATTCAATTTTGATATGAATATACGTTACTAGATGAAAAAATATAGATATTTTATTGTTCTTAATTCTCCATATATGTATCTAAAAACTTGGTAAGGGGCAAGGGCCATATAAAATATCCATGAAACCCATGTCAAATCCCGTCACAGTGAGTCTGTACATGAAACACTTCCAAAACCCTTGAGTGTCGAGAAAGTGAACCAGGCATCTGAATCTATACAGGCCGACTACACACAACGGCAGAGTCGTGGGCGTGCACGAAATCCACGTGCTGCGTCTAACGTAAGAGCGCATTCAGCTGTACTAAATAGACGACAGAGTATTAGTGTTACACGGCAGAACAATCGTAGCTCACCTGTTGCTATAAATAGACTTGTTCAGCAGCTAGCCAGTGTGCAGCATGCGGAACAGTAAACCGTGTAGAGATCGGTTTTCTCCTACTATGGTCAACAATATGAGAAGGTCACGCTTAGGTGTGCATTGCTAAATACGAAACGAACTGATAAATTAAAATCGCCTGAACTGCAGTCTGTATTTAACTCACATGACATTGTGCTATTTATCGAAACTTGGTCAAATGATTTTCAATATTACGTTTTACACACAACTCAGAACAAAAAATCTAGCAAATAGATTCTGGTGGTATTATCTATATTTGAGAGACCACTTTGTTTCAAATGATACTATCGTATTTCAGAGCGATGATGATATTGCATGTATCAAAATTTGTGGTAATTTATTGTCATTGCAAAACGACTTGTATGTGTGCTTATGGAGAACAGTAGTAGACAATCAATGATAGAAACAATTATGTTTGATCGTTTTACGGACTTCATTACTAGCTTAGGGTCTACATGTGAAGAAAATCTAAATTTTATGTTATTTGGCGACATGAATGCTCACACAAGTAATTATCCTGATTTTGTCACTGATGATAATTATTTTACTCATATGACTGTTTTACCTGTTGATTATGATATTGGCCCAGTTATGAATCGTTATTCACAAGATAAATGTTGTTTACAAGTATGGGAACCAACATATTACCGAATGGCTCCGCCCATAGCCGACTGGTTCCCATCTTCAAAGCGCAGCGCATTTTGCACACGGCAAAGCTGGGGCTACGTTTGAATTTGTGGACAGTTGTAAATGGAGTAAAACGGCAATAATCTTTATGTTTATTTCGGCTGTTGCGTTGTTTATATTACCGTTGAAGTTTAAAATTGACCATCATCGTGAAGATTTATATCTTCTGTGTCGATGGACCAAAGGATTATGTAAAATTATTGGAAATGATGATGTTGACCGTAGGTGTGCGGATTTTTTCCGGCGAACATTTTTATCTTGTGTATTATTATAGACGTTGAAATTTGAATTTTTTTTTCAAAACGGCTTATATTAAGATTTTTGATATATATGACCAGTACATGTGCTGGGATTGACAAATATACATTTTACAAATTTGGATTTTAAAGGCGTTTTAAGCTCCACACCCCAAGTGTCTGTGAAAATTATATGTACAAATGAAAACAAATATATATAGCAAAGGTATATCTAATGTTGAAAAATGATTTAGACCAATTTCCAAATAAGAAAAACTGGTGTTCGTTGGTAAGAGATTTATTATGTAACCTTGGCCTTAATGATGCATGGTTTTATCAAAATGTCGGAAACGCAAATAAATTTCTTAGTTTAGTTAAACAAAGAATTAAAGATCAGTTTATTCAAAATTGGACTGGTAGACAAAATGATTCATCTAGAGCTTTATTTTACAGATGTATTGCACAATTTCAACTGCAGCCATATTTAAAATGTATAGGTGTGAGAAAATTCTGTACTAGTATGACAAAACTGCGTTGCTCCTTGCATATATTATGTATTGAAACAGGAAGGTGGACAAGACCTGTCAGTGTACCTGTAAATGAACGCAAATGCACATTCTGCAATGTGTTAGAAGATGAATTCCAATTTGTATTACAATGTAGAATGTACATAATATTTTCCAATTTGTTACTGGAGATCTCCAAATATGTTTAAATTTATAGAATTAATGAATACTGAAAATCGATTGTTAGAGCTGATTAGTATGTTATTGATGTTTATATCTGTCTATACTTTTGTTAAAGCTAGACTTGTAGTACTACAGCGTATGTTTTATCTTTTTATATCATTGTTCCAATTGAAATGTTGGTAAATATATACATTTGTATTAGGCATATGAATATGTGATATTTCTTATATGTCAGTCATGTAAATGTGTGATACATCCTATATAATATAATATTTACAGCTCAAATATATGTATATCTTGATGTTATTTTACAAGCGAAACTGCTGTCATCTAATTGTTCCCCCTCATATCTTGTCATTGACGGCAAGATCTGGGAATGAGGAAATACATAAGTAAACATACATCTTTAGACTATAGTGCAATTTACCAGGTGGCTAATCTTGTATTTCGTTTTTGACAAGATTATGCCTCTTAAGTTTTTAATCTATTCTTCATATAAAGAACTTCAGTAACGCCATATACATTTGTTTGGACAATGCACATAAATATAGAAGTTTAATCCATTTCATTAGGATATCACAGTTAATCAAATTAAGAAATGTATTATATTCCATCATATCGCCGGTGTCTATTTCTATACTGTAAATTAAACGTTCCACAACTCAATATATACATGTAGGTCAGTCGATATGATACGGAATTCCATAGATAGAGTGTTTACAGGGGCGTATCACGTTGGGGGGGGGGGGCAGGATCTGACCCCAAGCGTCTGTGGTCCAGTTAGCAGTAGGCAGTAAGCAGTAGGCTGTCGTTTATGGAATTCCGTAATATGACCATATTGATTATCTCCCAAAAAATCGCACAATATGTAAAGTTCGCTATCAGTAACCAAAATTGTTTGGACAATACACATATATATACAAATTTGTTCCATTTTATTAGACAACTGCAGTTAATTATGTTAAGAAATTATATTGTATGGAAATATATTGTGTGGCGGATGTTACATAACTCGATATACAGGTCGAGCGATAAGACCATAGCAATTATCTCCCGTGCACAATCAAATTTGTTAAATAAATGCTTTAAATATTACTATTGTCAAAAATGGTGTATGCAGTCTGTTAAAATGTAGGTACAATTCACACTTTCGTTATCAACATGATTTAAATTCAATATTCAATTGAGAAAGATTTTAATATGTCAAATTATCTACTTCACTAGTGAAAAATCTAATCTAATATGTAAAGTCAGTACAATTGGATTTTTGTTGTACTTATTTATTCTTTTAAATCTTATGTTGCATATATACGAAGAAAATGTGAATTATTATAAACATGTAGGCCTTCATCATGTAATAGGTTAATATATGTTTTCATTTCCTATGTAAAATGTGCTACTGTAATGCATGTATGAGATCATGTCAACTTAGTATTGATGCACGTTTGCCATATTATATATTTTGCATATTGTACCACATGGGTCTATGACCTTCTGGGAAAAGATAAATAAACTTGTTAAACTTATAAAACAAACTAATGACAACAATTAACTTTAAAGTTTATTCTGTTCCAATTCTGTTTTATGTTTTATTTGACAATAAGCAATTGATGATTGTTAATATAACTTTTGTGTCTTTTAATCTCCTTGCTGGTGTTACATAACTCTTTATCTGCTAGCCGGCGACTGGCGCTGTTGTTTTTTGTATGGTGGTTCCTGGCTCGATGCAATGTCTGGTTACTGGAATTATTACACTGTACACCACCAGCCTCTGCAATGTGAAAATGTATTTCGTTTTCTAAATTTAAACTATCTGTTTTAGAAATATCTTAAATGTAATATACAAGTATGTAAGCATTTGTTCAGAATATCACGTAAATAGTTAATCAATACTTAGTGATCAGAGTATCAAGAGAAAAGACGATCAGGTAGTGATGCTCATCATCAATATTATTCACATAACATACAAATCATTGTTCAACAATCATAATTAATACTTTTGATTACAAGAAGTTTAATAATTAATTCTGCTTAAGCCTGTCATAGATAGGCTGAATTAAATCATTTCATCTTCAAGTACATTATACTCTGGGTTTTTATCTTATTGTAGAATTTAGTATAATAGTCCCGTCAGGGACTTTGGATTCTTTCGTGTGAGGAAGCTATCCAGCTAGCTTACGGAACGTCGATGGTTCTACTCAGGTGCCCGTTCGTGCCTGAAATAATGCACGGAAGCGCACCTGAGGTCTTCCTCCACCAGTAAAGCTGGAACGTCGCGATATGACCTATACTGTGTCGATGTGACGTAAAACCCAAAACAAAACAAAACAAAAAAATCTTATAGTAGTTTAATGACGAAATCTCATATCATACCTAAACTGATCTGTGATGAGCTAGCATCAAGATAAATTTTAAGGTTTGGGTCATTCTGAATGTTGAAATCTGGATCTTTGTCTTTGATGTTAGCAACCAACTCTTCTATCAATTGTTCACGACGGAACAGTTTGTTTTCTAGATCCATTAGCTGTAAATTTATGTTATACAATAAATGAGCCGCGTCACGACAAAACCAACATAGTGCGTTTGCGACCAGCATGGATCCAGACCAGCCTGCGCATCCGCGCAATCTGATCAGGATCCATACTGTTCGCTTACCAACTCTATTACAAGAAGAGAAACGGATAGCGAACAGCATGGATCCTGATCAGACTGCGCGGAGGCGCAGGCTGGTCTGGATCCATGCTGGTCGCAACCCATTATGTTGGTTTTGTCGTGACGCGGCTCATATGTACAATGTAATCACTTTGTTTAATTCAAAAGATATCCAGTGTTTTAAAGACCAATTGTTGGCAGAGACATTTTATAGGAGAGAATCTCCATTGCACAGTCTTATGTTGATAAGGTAGTAGATGATTTACACCTTTAAAAAACTCACAATTTTGGATGGGGTGATTCGAATAAGAATTCTTGAAAAATTAAAAACTAAATCAGAAATTAGATTTAATTCATATATAAACGGAAGATGGTCGCGTATCATTATCATTAAAATATATATATAATTATATAAAGATTTTAAAAGATATGGTTGATTTAAAAAATGCATTAATAAATATTTTAATTACCTTATTTTTTAAAGTAATGTTTTCTGGGACGTCAGGGTGCATTTCTTCTGCCATTTTTGTGCTGCCAAGACTCAAGCATCCATCTAGGATACATACGAATATTTCATTTGTCCATAAAATGGGCGTTTTACTTTTCTTTCATTTAACTTTTGTTATGCATGTGATACATTTTAGCAAGTTAGTTTTCATGATGAAACAGTCCTTCTAAACCGATACAATCCTTTGTAAAAATGTAAAATTCCCTTATTAACGAGATTCTTTACAAGTAAAAAACATTTGTAGTTATATTTGTATACATATATGGTATAATAATTTGGATACCGATAGAAATCCTTTGTAAGCTTGTTAAAGTCAATGAAAATAAAATCTTAGTTAGAATTAAAATTCTTTATATAGACCGTTAAAACTTCTTTAAGGCTGTTGTAACTATAGGAAAAAGTAGCATTATTTAATTTTAATCCAACGATAAATATTACATTAAGATTTACCTATAGATTTTAACACGATGCATTAATTGAAATGTACGGACAGTTAGAATAGAAGCATTTATTAGGGCCTACCTGTTGTGTTAATTGTAATTGCACGTGCTGCACGGAGTTCGTTATCTTGGTGGGATACAGTTGCCCTCTCATTCAGCTGTCTTGTATAATATGACTGAATAAAATGTAAAACAACATCTATGATAGTTTTAAACCAGTCAGCAGAAATCATTGTAAGATATCAATTAGTTATACTTGTACTGGGTTTGATACGAATACCCTTTGTTACATTTTTTTGACCTCAGCTCATTTTGACCTCAAAGGTCCATTATTCCTCAGAAATGCTTTTATCTTTATGTCCCGTTATAGTCCTGTTATAGTTTCGAAAAAAATACTCACTGGCGATATACCCGAACCATCTTTTGCTTCTGTTGCTTTTTGACATAAGTAGATTGAGGTATAAAAGTTTAGTATTTTATACGGAAGCCAAATTACTAGTTTGTTTACATTTTGCTACTTTCAAAACAAATAACATCACATTCAGCTCCACTTTCTTTAGATGATAAGCATCTTATATATGCTCTGAAACCATTATTTAAACACTATGAAACTCGTTTCTGAGGTATAATGTGAATTTTAGGATAACAGTTACTTTTGAGTTACGCACAAAGTAAATAATGTATACTCTTCAATTATTATGACGATCGATCATAATAACCTACTTATTAGCTAAAACAGTTGCGCAACATCAACAATTTATGACAAGGCTTTAACTTTTGAAAAAGCAGTAAATATCCAGTTCGAATAATAAAATGTCAATATGTATTTGAAGACGTCACAGTGTATATTTGAGCCGTGTCACGACAAAACCAACATAATGGGTTTGCGACCAGCATGGATCCAGACCAGCCTGCGCATCCGCGCAGTCTGATCAGGATCCATGCTGTTCGCTTACAAACTCTATTACAAATAGAGAAACTGATAGCGAACAGTATGGATCCTGATCAGACTGCGCGGATGCGCAGGCTGGTCTGGATCCATGCTGGTCGCAAACCCATTATGTTGGTTTTGTCGTGACGCGGCTCATTTACACTTTAAGAACCAACAACAATTTGCATGAAATAACTTACCATCATCAGAACTTTCTCATGTTGTATTGTGGTCAACTGTTCTGACAATTTCTTTATCTCTTCTGAAATAAAATAACACTGTCGTTTAGTTTATTTATTTTTTTTTATTTATTTATTTTCTTGCAATATATATATTGGGCACAGTCATGCGATTTGGGGTCTTAATGACATTTTTATCGATTTTGAGATTTTCACATCAAATTAAAGCTCATGAAATATGCTTTCTAGGGATATAATTCATATGCAAAAGAAATTATTATTTTTTTCAATATGACTTATTTCACAACGTCATGTTGAAACTTCTTGACGTTGTTGTTGTCGTCGCTAAATTGACGTCAATATTTCCCATTTATCACGTCATCGTTTCCCGCTTTTCTTGCATTAGGTGTGTTCAAATGATTATACTATTTTTTGGCGAGGGAAAAACATATAAGGCCTTATTAACTTGAAATAATGAATAAGTAAATGGTATGGTAGTGGTACATTATATATGATGTTATTATCATGGCCAAATATATCTTTTTTTTGAGTTCGTGAGTTTAAACATTTTTTGAAATGTTAATTTAATGGAGCTGTCTGTTAAAACATGAAACGGATACACTAAAAAGAATTAAGTTTTATCAATCAATATTTTTTATTTCTCTATTTTTACATTTGCTTCAAATGTGTACACCGCAAAACTCGTCTCTGTACGCAGGTCTGACGTATGGACGTACGGAGTTGTTCAGGTAGGTTTGCCGCCGTTGACTAAGCCCACTTGGTTGAATTGGTTCTGGTCTTACAGCCGCTTCAAAACGCGAAGACTGATGCTTTAAAATACAAATCTTTTCCTCATTTTGATCATCAGATGAAATTCGCACGGTAACAATACCTGGTTCGTCTGCAGTAAACCGGAAGTACTGATATTTCCTGAAATTAAAACTCATCATCTCATTTCTGCTAAGCTCACAATATAAGTTTTATTATGAAAGTTATACTGATTAAAAATCATATTTTTTTTTATTTCAGTTACGAGAACTTCTATCCTAATTATATTATTCTTATCATAATTATTTCTATTATTTATTCGTAACATCATTACTACCACTATTTTAGTATTATAAGGATATTATTATTATGATTATGATGATGATGATGATGATTATTATTATTATTATTATTATTATTAAAGCAGTTTCTGTATGTTGCATCTGTTAACTACCTTATTCCTTTCACTGCTTTAAATTTTCCCTCTAAGAACGACTTCAAATTTCTCCATGCCCATTGTGGAAAACGGACAGCAACATTTGTTTTTGATGATTTGTTTACAACATTTTCAAGCTGTCCAAGCGTCTCAACATCTGTTCGTCTATATACTCGCTTGATGTGGGCGAAGCCGGAATCTACTAAACACCGGGCGTGTCCTGTTTCAATATAACAAGGCTGAAAAATTTAGCATGCTAATGTAAAGTTGTAAATTGCTGCACATTGTTTTCATACTAAAAATCTTTGCCAGGTAGAAACAACAATTTCTTGCATGTCATTTAGACACAAAGCATTTTGAGTAAAACTAACAATGAATGTTTTAACATTCCGAAATACATAAACATATCAAGCAGAATGTCTGTTTTTTTTATTTTCTGAAAGATGCCTTAGCGGTATTATCGTGATGTCTCGATCAAGAGAACATAGCACGTGTCTTTTTTTATAAAAACCGCTTTCCGCAGGCTATCATGTGTCATCATGGATCGCAATTTAATAACAAACTGCGTACGTAAAAGCGATTTTCAGCCTGATAATGTATCATAATCTGTTCCTATTTTCTTTTTATTGAGTAAATCAAAATTAAATGATAGTTTTTTTATTCTTTTTAAAAACGGTGCACGTAGAATCACTAGCGTGTAAAGAATATTATCAACTTACCTTGAATTTGCATTAAGTATTCTATTACTTCATTCTGACCAGTCATTACTCTCCACATAAAATAAGCAAGTACATACTTATTTTTGTTCTGTCCTGAAAAGGGAGAATGAATATGACAGTATTATCGGGGTATTTTTCATTTATGTAACAATAAAACAAATTTATCATCCCGCAGATTAATTAACTATATTTTTATGTAGTTTTAATCAAATGCAAACTAACGCTTGTATATAAAATAAGATCTTTATCAACCAAAAATATCCATTATAAAGTTGTAATGATAATAAGAGAAGTTCGTTATTTCAGTACTGTTACATTCTTAAAGGCCCATATTATGCCTCATATATGCTATCTAAAAACATTTTGTCGGCATCAAGTTCTATTTTCTTCAAAAAACTCATTTGCTATAAAGGTTAACTTTCTTTAACTTAGTTTGCTCTATTAGAATTAGTATTTGTATGGAAGTCAAAATACTACACTTTAACATTTTGCTACTTTTACAACACATTACTGTACACTTTGCACTATTTTTTTCAGTTGTTCAACATTCCATATGCTCTTAATATATAAATTAGAATTATTAAATATGTTTTATATTTTTCTAAAGAATTTAAATAAAATATTGATTTCTGAAGTATAAATGTGCCTGTAAACAGAATCAAATGTGTATAATTTACCTGGACAATTATCAGCATGGATTGAAAACTTTCTTGCTCTAACACAATGTTCCTGTAGTGCCCAATCAACCATGGAAATAACTGCATCAGGGCCATGTGTTTTTGATCCATCCTCTCCTACTGTCTCGTTTTCATCAATCAAAAAATTAAGTTGCTTAGGGATACCGTCTATACGGAAACCAAAAGTCTGTACTTTTCGCAATGTTAGAAAGTACAACGGTCCCATTTGTCTTGCGTGATGTGGCAAACTCACGTTTTGACAAAAATCAAAGGTAAAATGAAAGTATTCGTCTTCCTCAGCACTTCTTCTTAAACATGTGTTGTACGTGTCCCTCTCCTTAAATGTAAAAAGTTAACAATTTCACAACTTAAGGTTTATCAAACTTTCCTGTAAACTGGATATCAAATTCCATAGATTATAAACGTTATATTTCATAAACTTAATTAAAAATCAAGAAAAAGGAGATAAAAATTAAATTATTTATCTTGTATATAAATTTTGACTCATTCACATGTTTTAATTATAAATATTTCTTAATGTATAGTAAACTAGTACATACTCTTTGAGCTAAAAGAATGTGTTGTCGCATGTTAGCTAAGGCCTCCAGCTTATCTTCCTCTGACACTGCGTCTGATATCATCTTTCTCATTCGCTCACACGTAGCGCAGACGTCATCTCTTGGTGTTGCTATTCTGATGTGAGGCATACACGTAGACCAGAGAGTTTTAAACATAGAAAGCGAGACGTGCTTGATTTGTGGAACGGATTGCGTACAAGAAATACAGTAATCCTTGTGCATCTGGACCTTTGTTGTTTCGGACGGTAAATAAATTGGTGGAATATCATCTCGTCCCCTAGGTGCGGCAGGCTGGTGTATTCCTCTTTCATCAGCAAAGTTACTTATAAAATGTATTACTCTTGTAACGTCGTCAAAGGTAATAGCATTATGTGGTTTCTGCCAGTATTTCCATGTATACGTGGAGCAATACCTTCCTGAAAAACTTGCTTACTTAAGCTACTTAGTGTTCACTATGCCATGACAAAGTAGAAATGTCTTTTTACATACTTCAGTACCATGAAACGTATACTTTCTTCTCATTCTTTGACGTTTTTTACCACGTTGTGTTTTTTCTGTAGATCTTTCATCATTTATGAGACCCATAATGTAAATTTCCTTTGTTTCTTTTTCCATTTCTTTCACATTAAGTAGGTACTGATATATTTGATCTTTAGTGAATTTTCCGCTACATGCTAACCTACAGCATTTACTTGATTTATAAAGTTCAACCTGCTGCCGGTCAGAATCTGGTTCAACATAATCATCACAGATTTCATCTTCATCGGACCATTCAAGCTCTTCATCCCTTTCAATGTCTTCCGAACAACCATTTGCACCAGTACATGCGCCTCTATCCTGGTAAAGGAAGTCTCGCACACGGCTCTCCACTATACTATTTTCCCTGATGTCTTGGTCAGAACCGCTGTCGCTACTAACATATTCCTGGGTATTAAAGGGTGTAGTCAACGGTGTTCTGCCAAAATGCTCTGATAAAAGGCTCTCTAGTTCCTGAAAATAAAATACAAATAATATATTAATTATACCTCTTTATGCAAATTCTAATATCAAACATAAATGACTAATGAATAGAAAAATTAAATGCAAAATCTAAAAATTTATAACATTTTACTGTTAAACTCTTTGCTATTTGTTTAATCAGCATGTGATTTAAAAAAAAATGCCTAAAAAAAATAAGAGAGAGGCAGATTTTGAACCTCAACCACCCGCACGCAAAGCGAACGGCGTAACCGTTTAAACTGAAACAGCGCGGTTCCAGACGACAGTTTACACACTAATTCCAGCTATTTAACAAATTAGTTATCACATATTAAATGTACATGTACCAAAGTTTTAAGGGTTTATTCGTTATGTGTCAATATATTCATGCGTAAATATATTCATGTAGACTACATCTAGGATTAGATCTAGTCTCGCAAAGCGGCAAATATTTTTTTTAAATTTATTAGATTCTAGTTCTAGATGAAAATAAAAATAGCTCTAGAGAAAAAGATTAATGTCGAAACATTCATACTAGTCTATAAACCATGATAAACTTTTTTCCAGCGTTTAAATAGGCACCTGATGTGTAAAGAGATTCACGAATGTATTCTACTTTCGTTTTCAAATACCGACTGACCTTCAAAACATTATTGATTCAAATGAAATCAGATTTAAAACATAAACATACAGTAGATTGTTCAAAAACACGAATAAAGAAACTTACCTCTAGCTCTTCGGCCATTTTACGCAAAGAAAATACGTGTAACCTGTCGATAATAATCGTAAACAAAACTTCTAGATTAACATGTGTAGTTTCGCAATGATCTTCCGGTATGACTTTTGACGTCATTTATGACGTTTGCGCATTATGTCATTAAGACCCCAAATCGCATGACGGTGCTCATTATTATATATAATAATTTCTAAATTTATTTCAATTGATTCATCATGTTAATTTATAAAATATTTAATCTTTTTAATCTTTTTTGTTTGTTTAATGTTGTTTTTTTTCCGAAGCTTAAAAATAAGGTAACATTACTTGAAAGAGAATGGACGTCAAACTTCAGGCATTCATTTTCAGCGTCGATACTTAATTCTGTACTGATTGCTCCTATCCGTTCTTTGCGCATGGTTTCGCGCATGTCTTCAAGTTGCCTCGTCATCTCTAAACGTGCTTTATTATTGAACTCCATCATTTCTTAAAAATGAACGAATATAAAGCCTGAAATTACCTCTCCGAAATAATATGAGTCGCGTCGCGACAAAACCAACATAATGCGTTTGCGATCAGCATGGATAAAGAAAAACTTCAACGTCCCTCATGCACCCTAGCACCGACTTGAGCGGTACTCAATTTTCAACACTTATTATGGGCATTTTTTTTCAGATGCCACACAACACTTCACACTGCTGCTAAGCAGTATAAAATCTTGGTTTGATTGAGTCTGTACATGAGGGATAATTAAAAAGTGCAACATCCCTCACGTCCCCTTGCACCAAATAATAGCTATTTATAAATTATTCAATAAAACAGATATGAACTTTTTAGCTGGTGAATATGATGTGATATCGCTTTTGCCTCGGTCAATATAGATATATATTTTTCAGTACATATCACATCATACATCAGCTAAAAGTCCGAATTTGTATATTATTTCGCATCATGCAGGGCGCACGTGCCACAAACGGTACAATGACGTTGACATATTTTCCGTGCAAAAATTATGGCTTTATTTTAGCCAAAGGTTAAAAAAGGTACTTACCTGTGTGATAAACGACCTCCTGCTCAAGGAGCTTTGACTTCATATGCTCGTCAACAAATTCTGACTTTATCGCCTCGAGCTCAACTTTGTACTTTTCGGAGGTTGTTTTGAGAGCTTTATTTTCTTCGTCGGCGTATTTAAATCTTTCTAAAATTAGAGAAAAGTCCTGTCGGATCACAACTTACAAATAATTGGTCCATGTATTCTCATGTTGTTGGTTTTTTTTTCTTTGTTTTTCTTTTTCTTTATGTTTTTGTTTTGTTTTTGTTTAAAGAGTGTTGAATAAAATATAATACGAGATAGATATATTTTAGTTTTTGGTGTCTGTCTTAGATAAATTTTAGTTTTTTGTGTCTGTCTTTGCGGTTTCGTAGGTTAAAATATATTATGTTAACTTTTATGTTATGTTATAACATTTTAGTCTGAAATAATCATAAATATTCGTGCAGTTACCCTTCTGACTCTGTGAAAGTTATCGTCTTTGATTGTTTTTATCTCCCTTTCATACACATCATTCCATATATACGTTGAAAAAAATAATAAAGTCACCAGTATAGATTCGAGTCAGTCTGCAGATCTGACCGGGCTCTATACTGTTAACTGATCAAATTCACACATATTTTCATTTTGATATCTCCAAAAAAAAAATATTTGACAGATATTAAAGTGTAAGCTGGACAAGTATATTCAAGAAAGACAGCATGTTTATGGTTAATACCTTGATAAAGAGCAAGCTGCGTTTGTGTTTCTGCTAAATTTCTTGCGCTTAATTTTAGATCTTCGGAGAGTTTATTGTTGGCTTCTTCAAAGTGTTGTTCTCGTTCTTCTTTAGCAAAAATCTCTTCCTTGGCTTTTTCTAACCTTTCAAGTGTTGTAACCAAGTTTTCTTGGAGGGTTTCGTTTTGATCTGAAAGTAGGTAGGACAAAAATGTTGGTGGTAACAGGTTTTTTATGTTTGTTTTTTTTTTTTTTTTTCCGTACTAAAAGTTCCAGCCTAACACAAATGACGCAATTTCAATCGCAGCACTTCGAGGGTCAATTATTCACACACTTTGGGCTAGTGTTATAAGTTTAAGTTTCTTTCTTAAAGTTTTATTTTGATAATATAGATAATAACCCACTTTATCTTTTATTGCCATGTGATAGTAATGCCAATTTAATGACTGAGTCGCCTACATTTGATTTGATTTTAAGATATATTAGGCTCAAATTTGATATTTAAAAATATTTAAAATTACTACACCGTCTCATTGTAAATATGACTTCACACAAAGTAGATATGTTATGCTTTAAACTCTACACACTATAGAAGATCACAATATGAAAATATAGTGTTATTAAAAATCTGCAGTTTTTTTTAAGAAAGTACCAACTTTACCTTACCTGTAAAATGGAATACAGCGTCGTAGACATATTTTATACAGTCTTTAATTCAAATTATACATACATGTAGTTAAAATTTCATAGATTTCAATAATTTTTTGCCATAGAATTATTTCACTCAAAAATGAGCATAGTATATCTTTAGAAAGAGGTGTCACCTTTCAACTTCTGCAGTTCAGCTGCTTTACTGAGTAATGTCTCTTGTACTTGGTGCCAATCTTGATAAATCTTGTTCTGATCTGTCAGAGATTTTATAACAGAAACCTGCTCTTCTGTTGCTATTGTCAACTGTTTCAGCGCAGCTATTAACAGAAAATTATAATATTACTTTTTATGTTCAATAGGCTTCGAGATTCTACGGATCATGCGGGAAAATCCGAATATATATTTGCTATATGTATATGAAAATGTGTAAACCAGTTGACATGGAGTTAGGAGTGACTTTATTCAAACGATAAAGAAAATACATGTATAAAATGAAAAACTTTTATACTTTCATTCGGCTATTTGCATACAATCTCTACTGTACAATGATATTGCTGAGCGAATCCCACATAATTATTATCTTCTTAATTGGTTTATTAGAATCAAAATGTACATCAATATATTTTTTTAGCCGTTGTGATAATAATTATAGAAACGGATGACCCGCATGAATGTGTAATAAAACTTAGTAGAACTTTTTGAAAAACTCGTTTCTAGACATTTGTATGTCATACTCATGGAATAAATCATTTCTTTTAAAAATTTGTCTACACAATGAGAAATATTCAGTTGGCATCTACTTTGTAGTCTGTCCATTGTAAAATATGTGAAGGGCCGATATGAGACAGACTGTATATTTGTTTAAAATAACAGCGCGAAATACATGATTATATACTTACTCAACAGATAGCTTTTATCCTTCTTTTTTCTATGAAACATGTTGCGGAAGGAGTTTTCTCCTACAAACAAGAAATTATAAATGAGCCGCGTCACGACAAAATCAACATAATGGGTTTGCGACCAGCATGGATTCAGACCAGCCTGCGCATCCGCGCAGTCTGGTCAGGATCCATGCTGTTCGCTTACAAACCCTATTACAAATACAGAAACTGATAGCGAACAGCATGGATCCTGATCAGACTGCGCGGAGGCGCAGACTGGTCTGGATCCATCCTGGTCGCAAACCCATTATGTTGGTTTTGTCGTGACGCGGCTCAAATGTTTCAGCACTTTCTTATTTACACAGCCAGTTTTATAATTTTAGTACGATATCATAGATATAAGCCTAATTTCAGTTTTTCGTTTCTAAAGCTTTCATCCATTTTGTTATATTTAGCAGTTCCACTTGCTGCTGTGATACATTGTTTCAACTCTTTGTCATACAGCATGAAAATAAAAATGCTCACGTTGCCTATTGTAAGGATGATAAAAGAGATCATATAGTGAATATCCGGTGGAGTACATGTTTTAATGTTAGTAATATAACAATGATAGGGAAAATATAAAAAAGAACAAATATCTGTTGGGAGTTATATAACATTGAATGCTGTTATAAAGAGGCATATTTTAACTATGGATATTGGTTTGACTAGATTGTTCCGTATTGTTAAGAATTAAAAGATAAATGAAATGAAGATAACAAAAAAAGCACACAGTGATGGAAAACTGTGACACTATTTTGAAGCATTTATTTCCAAATCTGAAATTATTATGATTTATCAATTTCAAATTGTTTTTACCACGTTAGTTACAATGAATTCCGGCGTTTTTAAAAACTAAAGTTTAGTTTTGAGCACCATATCAATTACGAAAAAGGGCAGAAAATGAATAGGGAGGTGGGGGGGGGGGGAATAGAACACAGAGCAAGATAAAACAAGAGATAACGCTTCCAAAATACGTCACCTATACAACAACAATAATCAGAAATTATTTAAACGTATATTCAAGAAAAAATCTGTAAATTAATATTTTATCTCGCAGAGATCGGAATTTCATTTGGAAGTTGTACACGAATGTGTTTATTAAAACCAATTGTTCCCTTTTGCTTTTCGCCTTTTCGCTTTGGAAATCCGTGTGTAAAATACGGTTAGTAAATATTTAAAAGGTTGCCTTTCATAAACAGAACATTTAAAATTGTATCATTTTCGTACGAGTCTGTAAATCATACGTTAAAATATCCCCTAACAAATTTACTCTTCAATAAGTTTTAGTTAATGTGTATTAATTTAAAGGGAAATTATTACTTCTATAATCTTACTAATTCACGTAAAATGCGCGTAATGGACTTCAATCTATTTATCTTCCACTGAGTGAAACCACTGCTGGGGACCTAGACTTTGTGCGTCACTATCAATTGACACAATAAAAACTATACATGTAATAAGTACAATATGAAAAGGTAAAATAAAACGCAAAAAAAAATCCAACCTTCAAATCCTTTTTTATCCATCACAACATCTTTGGCATCTTTAATTCTCTAAGTAACATAAAGTTATTGCTAAGCGTAATAACGTCATACGCTGCTATGACGTAACAAAGACTAGACTGCTTCCAACAACGTAACGTTCGTTTGCGGAGTGAATCTTAGACAGTTAGGGAACTAGTCTACAGACGTAACCGTATTCACATCTCACTTAATTGTAACAACATTTGCTCATTGAATCAAGCAATGCGTTACGGGAAGTGGTTGTCTTTTTAAGCACAAAATTGTTATGAATTTAACGGAAATGTACGATATTAAATTTGACTAGACTAGAGGAATCTATTTTACGGACAAGATCTGGGTGCCGTTTTATCAACGCAGGCTCGGTCGTAAAATAAGATCTCAGTTACGACTGTCTTTGTTGATACAACGGTACCCTGAAGAAAATGACAAGCGACTTATAAAAATGCTGTCTGGCGAGCTTTAGTATTTCTGGATTGTTTATTTACGAGAATTTTATGAATACTCGTTCCAGTGGTATATTTTAATTAGTGGCAACGGCAGCGCGTTTCTATAAATAAGTCATACCTGTGAAAAATGATAAGTAATGTAGAGACCGTCAAAATATTCACCATGGACCTCGACACATTTGATAGCCTCAGAATCAAGTCCGACAAACCAACTTTGAACTGTTGACTGCTTATACATTGGGAGAGCGCTTCTGACGGCACTACAGATTTCGAACCGGCGACCGCAAAGGCAAGATTTGATGTACGGATATAACCAGAAGTCACAAGGAGAGATGTCAGGACTATGGGCAGGATGTACCTCTGCTCCTCTAAATAAGCTTGGTTCATTAACTACCGCAGTGAAAACATGGTCACGGTTAAATGTTCCGGTGACACTATCCCTCTCAGGCTACTGTCAAAAAAATAGATCGTACATAACTCTTTTCACGCTCCTTGGTACGTCGAGCGACAACTGGGCGATCGCTGTTTTCACCTACCCACATTTTGTTACTGAGTTTATTGTCGGGCTCAAAAAAATAAAGCCACGTTTCATCCCCTGTGACAATTTCTCTCAGGCGTCTAATTCACAATGCAAGTCAATCATGCTTACAGCCAGTATACAAAACCAGACATGCTAAAACTTTATTGCACGTGCAAATCGTGCGAAAAAGGACCGTTGGTTTGAAAAATCAATAATCTTTCCAACGGTATATTATACATGTACTTTCGGTTAAATTGATTTGTTGCCACTAATCAAATGTGCCCGTCGTATATATGCTTGCTCATGAATTAATGAAAAATGTCAGATTCTATGTTAATTGCGGCGCATTTAGATTTTTAACACAGAAGATATTTGTTTGTTTTGCATTAAGATCTAAATATATTTTACAGTGAACAGCATAGCTTTTCACGAGTTGTTTAGCCATGAGTGAAAATATAATCATGCCGTGACATTGTTCTTGTTGTGTGTAAGTTATATTTTTATTATTTCACCGTGAAATAAGCTATAAACTAGAATTTCACTATCCGCTCAAAAGCATGTAATAAATGTTTATTATATACTTCTTCTCTTTCTTAACCTTATGAATAGGAAGAATTCCCTTAGAATTTAGAAGAAATTAGTCTGGCAAGACACTAGTGAAAATACGGAAAATATGTTTCATTGTAGTGAAAAATATTTTTTTACAGTGAAAATACGGAAAATAAAAATACGCATTTTATTTCATCAATATTTCATTTGTAAGTATGTAATAAATAATGTTATCCCTTTATGGAAGTAAAAATAATAGTACAAAAGAGACAATTTGCCACCAAACCTAAAACCTTTCTTCTGACAGCATATAAATAATACCATTTTATTTAATTTTACCCATGAAATATGGTGCTATATCAGTCAAATATATTTCATATTTTTTAAAAATAAATATGAAATATAAATATGAAAGTGGGCGGAGTCAAAACTCATATTTATTTTAAGTGACTTCTTTCGCCATTTTGTTTGAAAAATCTGATAAATAAATAACAACTTTTTGTTGAATTTTGATTTGAAAACTATCTAGAATGATAGAAAATGGTCTAACGAAGAAAATAAATCCGAACACCAATATCTTTAATTCAGTCATTAAAGCTGTATAGACGTTTAAAGAGTTGTTTACGTGACGTCACAATGTAGCGCTAAATATCGCGTGCAAAACAAGACACTAATTATATTACTGCGCGCTGTACAATTGCAGTTAGGGGGTTCGTAAACATTTTTCTTTGATAATGAAATTAAATAAAAAGGTTATTTTTTCGTTTTTCATGAAATATGGTATATATAAGAAGAATATGTAAAATGTGTACTGCAAATATTGAAGCACATTATATTTAATCAATAAATTATATGCATTCATTTCTTATTGGAAAATTGACTTAGAATTTATAGAAAATAAATTTCTAATTATCTCCCTTTATTTACATGAAATATTAAAATCGGTAATATCTGTATAAATAATGCTTATTGGAACTTACAATATTGACAAATCTTAATTTGAACATCATATTTATGAAATAAAACCATGATCAAAATGTGTTACAGGATCTTTATACAGTATTTCATAACATTGTTGCATGTGTTAAAAACAACAAGAAATCATTTATTCATGACAATTTTAATCAAATTTCAATATATTGCAAAAAGGCATCAAATTGACATTCATCAGAAACATAAAAACTGAATTATAACTTGATAAAAACAATTCAAAATCTAGACAATCTTGCAGCATTTAAGATAAAAATTACAATATCCTAAGGCCAAACTACAAAAAAAATAAAGTCTTTTTTAAGTAATGTTACACAAATCAAGTATCATTATGCCATGTTTAACATGAAATGAGTGAAGTAAAGAATTGAATTGAAGATATTAGACCTTAATTATGTCAAAATTTTACAGTTGTAAATAATTATTAACTAGTGATTTATTGATTTGTTATATATTCAGAAGGCACAAAAATAATTTCACACGTGACCTCCATTACTTGGCTGAATTGAACTTGGGATATTTTCCCACTAATCACCAAATCGAGGGGTGACTGGTCCTTCTTTATTTCATATAAGTTACAACAGTTTTGCAGCCAACTGGAAGTTACAACAAATTTGCAGTCAACTCTTGAAATATAGCCAATCACAACACACCTCATTCCATACAGAGTCAGGAGGACGCTAAATTTCAGATCTCAATGTGGGGGGAAAAATTTGTGGAGAATTAAACACATCTGTCCCTGGCTTCATTTTCATTAAAATAAGTCAAAAGAAAAGAAGTATTAATTATATGGCTTGCTTCAGTTGATACCCTTGACAAATATAATACATGTGTTGGTACCACCACTGAATGCTTCCCTGATTATGGACAAGTTGGATATTTTGGAAAATCTAATTTTAGCTTCAAATTTGACCTAATTGACCTTATATGCCACCCACAGGTTGTGTTCCATAGAAAGTAACAATATACCAAAAATCTAAAATATCAGTCCATAAAGGTACATGTTAAAAACAAGGGTTAGCCTCAAAAGTAAATATTTTTTAGACAGGAAAACTAAAAAAAAAAATTATGACCTATGACCGCTTTTTCACTCTTCACCATCAATATTTCAACCTGCCTAATTTTCTATTCAACAAAACAAACTGCAAATCTCGTACTTTATTCTCACAGTAAAAACTTTCATATGTACAATTCATTGTTGAATAAACTTTATTCACAAATTCAGCATATTTTTCTATCACTTAGGAAAATACAACTCATCTTAAGGAAGGAAATCATATGTAATCAAGACTCAGAATTCTATACACAAACATTTCTTCTGTACAAAATGAATTCAATGAAATATAATTACAGGAAATATAAACATGAACATTAATCAAATTTCGTGATTAAACAATAGTCAAATGTACACATATGTAAATTAAAACTATTTCAATTCTTTTTTTCTCCTAGTTCACAAAAATAAATGTAAACGTTAAAAAAGTATTCACTATCTGGGAAAAACCTTGGAATGAATGCAAGTTTCCCATTTTAACTCACTTTTATTCAGGGGTAATGTAACAGTTAAAAGCTCTCAACTTAAGATTTAAGTACAATTGGGTTGATAACTTTGATTTCAACACAGTCTCAATGAGGTAAAAAAAAAACAGAGTTGCAAAATGGGACAAAGAATGTAAACCGAAAATATTAAATTATCTGAGTTCTTAAAATAACAGCAAGAGAAATATTTCGGAACAGAAATTGCTATTAAATAATTCTTTTCTGATGACATTTTTGATATTTTTATCCATTAGATGCATGTGAAATATACTAGAAACTACTTTAACATGACAGTTTAGTCCAACTTTCCAGGAAAACCAAAACCAGTTTCATGAAATAGAGTTGAATTACTCTCTTAATGTGTCTTTTAAAAAAAAAATATTGCTTCTGTGAATAATGTTATTAACTGAGACTTCCCATTTTAATAAGCACTTGATGGTTATTTCCCATAAAAAAGCACATGTAATGCTGAATAAATACACTATGTTTGTACATATCTCAAGAAAGTAAGTTTTAATCAAATAGGAAGATAAGAAAGTATAGTTTATGCAGTCAGCAACATATTGAAATGTTTACTTTTTTCAATGCACAGAAGTGCATTTCAGTAAAGACAATTTTTCACTATAAATATGCGAGAGAATGTAAAAAAAGACTGTGAAAAAAATAGGACAACAAACTGAGACAATATAACACAATAAAATCTTTATTTTACAAATATTTACAATCGCTGAATTTATTTTAAAAGACAGCATGTATCATGTATTGTTGCAAATTTCTTCTTAAATTAAGACTCAAATAAAAGCCGATGGATCTAACGAACACAAAGCGTGCTGGTGGCAAGATAATTACCCATGCCACTAGTGCAGACCTAGATTAGCTGGCATATCTGTGCTGTCTGATCAAGGTCTGCACTGTTTGCTATTCAGTTAGCATATATTTTGAAAATATCCCTACAAATCATGTGTAAGAAATAAGGAAATGGATCTTACTTGATGAAAATGTCTATAATTAAATTAAACTTGAGAAAGAAAAAAGCAGATGATTTTTACTGAAATATGTAACCAAGAAAAAAAATCTTACTCAAGTAAACAACCAAACAGATGGATTTTTTACTAAGAATCTTGTGTTATATCTGTTACGGTAATTGTAATACTGATACATAAGAGACTAAAAAAACTATAGAACATTCAGCAGTTAGTTAAAACCGTACTATACACTTTTGTTATACACTTAGCAGATTGTGGTCCAATTTATATAGATAACAGCTCATAAATTAATGGGTTTTTTAAATTTTGTACATGGGAACAATTTCATTATTTTTTTTCAGGATCAATTTTATTTTTCATAAGCTATTCCACCTCCAACCCTTTGTTATTATAAGAAATTGATCTATATTCTTTTCAACAATATTAAGATAAGCAAAATTATTATTTCATTGAATAATAAGTAATGAATTGAATTTATCCTAGATTGTTTCTAAAGAAAAACTAACAATGTGATTTGTCTCAAATATGCAACACATCAACAGTGTAAGAAATAAAACATATTGACTTTTTCTCAAAACATATTTCAAATTAAAATATCTTTTAACTTATGCACCACAGTTTGTACTTAAACTGCTAATAATGAAATGAGCCACATCACGACAAAACCAACATAATGGGTTTTCGACCAGCATGGATCCAGACCAGCCTGCGCATCCGCAGTCTGATCAGGATCCATGCTGTTCGCTTACCAACCGGACCCTATTACAAGTAGAGAAACTGATAGCAAACAGCATGGATCTTGATCACTCTGCATGGATGCATAGGCTGGTCTGGATCCATGCTGGTTGCAAACCCATTATGTTGGTTTTGTCATGGCATGGCTCAATTATGTCAAAACAAAATTCAATGCCAGAACACAATGACAACTGTTTTCACTGTACTGAAACATGTACATGTAAAAAGAAATAAAAATAACTGGATATAATTTTGGCCAAAACTGTTAGTACACGTGTACCTTGCTTACTTAAGTGGCATTGCTTCTTACAAACATTTTTATTAGATATTACATACCATACATTTAAAATTTCCAGTAAATTAAATACCAAAAGTAAAGCTGGTAATTTTGTTGCAGCAAAAATAAACTAGCATTATCACAGAATTGATTGTTACTGGTATAGACAAGAGTTAAAGTCAACGCTGCCATAACTCTTTGGACTTAGAATGATAAAAGTTATGACAGTGATGTAATGAACCCTTGAAATATTTATAAAGATTCAAGAATCAGACTGTAGTTTTGTTTAAAGGCAGTCATCTGATCTGATATAAAGTCTCTCTCCATCATTTATAACTCTTTTGTTCATCAATCTTCTCACTATTCATTCACTACAAGAAATAGTCTGGCTGTGGCTTTTTGGAAGGTATACCTCGTAACTCCTGCAAAATGTAATAAGGTCTCTATTTAACTGTGCAAATAAAAAACAACAAAAAACCTGTTCATCTATTTTAAGCTGTATAAGGCTCAAATTTGATATTTGAAAATTGCTACACAATTCCTTTGTAAAGATCAAATTAACATATTTTGAGTGCACACGGAGTATATGTATAATGTTTTGAACTCTTCACACTACAGGTAGACACAGTATGAATACATAGTGTAATTAAACAAGAGGGCCATGATGGCCCTGAGGTCGCTCACCTGTATGTAGGCCCCCGGAGCGGGGCCAGTTTAAACCCCAGGGCTTTTATTTGAACAAACTTGGAAGACACCCATAAGAAGATGTTTCATGATGTACACACTTATAATGAAAAACAATGATCTGCCCTCCCCCACCCCCGGCAGGGCAAATTTTATCCAAGGGCTTTTATTTGAACAAACTTGGTAGACACCCATAAGAAAATGTTTCATGCTAAACATCTAAACTCTAGCTCATTGGGTTTTTTAAAAGAAGATTTTTAAGTTTTTACTATACACATATAGTTAAAAACAATGACACCCCTGGGGCGGTGCCAGTTTTGACCCCAGGGCTTTTATTTGAACAAACTTGGTAGACACTTACTAGAACATGTTTCATGCTTAATATCTTAACTCTAGCTATTTGGGTTTTTTCAAATAAGATTTTTAAGTTTTTCCTATACACATATAAGGAAAATCAATGACCCCCTGGGCAGGGCCAATTTTGACCCCAGGGCTTTTATTTGAACATACTTTGTAGACACTCACTAGTAGATGTTTCATGCTTAATATCTAAACTCTAGCTATTTAGGTTTTTTCAAAGAATACTTTTAAGTTTTTGCTATACACATATATAAGGAAAATCAATGACCCCCGGGGCGGGGCCAATTTTGACCCCAGGTTTTTTATTTGAACAAACTTGGTAGACACCCATTAGAACATGTTTCATGCTAAATATCTAAGCTCTAGCTCTTTTGGTTCTTTAAAAGAAGATTTTTTAAGTTTTTACTATATACATATAGAAAAAATCAATGACCCCCTGGGGCGGGGCCAATTTTGACCACAGGGCTTTTATTTGAACAAACTTGGTAGACACTCATTAGAAGATGTTTCATGCTAAATATCTTAGTTCTAGCTCTTTTGGTTCTTTAAAAGAAGATTTTTTAAGTTTTTACTATATACATATAGGGAAAATCAATGACCCCCTGGGGCGGGGCCAAATTTGACCACAGGGCTTTTATTTGAACAAACTTGGTAGACACCCATTAGAACATGTTTCATGCTAAATATCTTAGCTCTAGCTCTTTGAGTTCTTTAAAAGAAGATTTTTTAATTTTTTACTATATACATATAGGGAAAAACAATGACCCCTGGGGCGGGGCCAAATTTGACCCCAGGGCTTTTATTTGAACAAACTTGGTAGACACTCATTAGAAGATGTTTCATGCTAAATATCTTAGTTCTAGCTCTTTTGGTTCTTTAAAAGAAGATTTTTTAAGTTTTTACTATATACATATAGGGAAAATCAATGACCCCCTGGGGCGGGGCCAAATTTGACCCCAGGGCTTTTATTTGAACAAACTTGGTAGACACTTATTAGAAGATGTTTCATGCTAAATATTCTTAGCTCTAGCTCTTTTGGTTCTTTAAAAGAAGATTTTTTAAGTTTTTACTATATGCATATAGGGAAAATCAATGACCCCCTGGGGCGGGGCCAATTTTGACCCCAGGGCTTTTATTTGAACAAACTTGGTAGACACTCACTAGAAGATGTTTCATGCCAAATATCTAAGCTCTAGCTCTTTGGGTTTTTTAAAAGAAGATAATTAAAGTTTTTTCTTTCAGTTGCCATGGCAACCAGAGTTCTGTATGGAATTAAATTCTTTGAACAATTTTTAAAGGTGACCACCAAAGGAACATTCCTGTGAAGTTTGGATGAAATTGGCTTAGTGGTTTATGAGGAGATGTCATTTAAAGTAAAAGTTTACGGACGGACCGACGGACGCCGGACGAAAAGCGATCACAAAAGCTCACCCTGTCACTTTGTGACAGGTGAGCTAAAAAACTAGCAGTTTTTTTAAGAAACTGCCAACTTTGCTTGACTAGTAATTGGGAATGCAGTTTCCAATACACAGTTTGTGCATTCGATTATTTAAATTAGACATAATTAGTAAGAATTTCACGTACTTAAATAAATTTCTGCAATAAAAATATTTTACTAAAAGATGAGCCAAGTATATTTTTAAGTTAAGATTGGCTTGTATTGCATACCATAACCTTCGTGCAGAAATGTGTAGACTCCTATTAATAAGTAATAGGGGTAAACCCATTAGTGCACTAAGTGGATGATATCTAAAATGTTTCTGCAGTGATTGTATCTACTAACAAATCTATACTATATAATATATCAAAACAACTTCTGTTATATTTCATAAACCCAGAGTATATAAGACATGACATCTGGTTGAAATCTCATAATATATTTGTTGCTGCAACCAAATATTCAAAGTCACAAACACTTTTAGTTATGAAAGTTATTTTTACATTCTGTACACATGTTATTGTGTTACAAAAACTGTAACATAAGTGGTTACGCCGACACTCAGGTGACTAGAACAGCTCTACTTATTCTTATCGAATAGTCAATCTAAAAATATATCTGTCTAAACAATAAATTTTTTGGTTTAATAAAATTGTTTCTCTGAATAATATTTATTACAAAAACAGAAAGATCAGTCCTATCCAAATTTGTTTAATGAATAAAGTATACCTGTGGGGCAGCTTCAAATATAGTAAAATCTCTCTGTAAATGTTCATCTAGTTCTAATATAGCCGCTACATTACCACATCTGTAATATATCAATCAAAATAAAAGTTTAATGTAAGTTTTAAGATACATATGTGCTTGACTTAAAGCAGCATGCATCTAGATGAGTATAATAAATCTTCAAACCATCAAACATAAGATAAATATAAGAAATGTATATATTCTGAAAAATTTGACAATTTCTTATTTCTATTTTAATCACCAAAATTCTATCAAATAACTAACAATGTAAGAGAAATGTCTGCATTTATGATAGTATTAAGTGCCCTAGGCTTTGATAAATCACTGATTTTGAAGACTTGACAAATTTTTTACTCATACAAACAATTATTGTTTCGTACAAATTAACATAAATCTGTAACTAAGCACATTGCTTTCAATACATGATTAATCTAACAGTATCAAATTATTCAACATCTCTAGTGAAATTAGATCCCACAGCAGTATCAGTCAAATAATCAAACCCAAAGATGATAAATAATAACAGAAATCAAACCATAAAGACAAAAGATTACCAAATGTGGGGAAAACCATCAGTCATTATTCATAAAAAAAATTTTTATGCTTGATAGCATCTTTTCTCACAGAAAGCGAAGTTGTAGCTGATGATATGGTTTAAAATAATTACATTTATGTAAAGTGGCCGTTTTTATTTATCTTTGATGGATACCAGCAATTTTCAGCTGGTTTGAAACATAACATCAGAAAGCCACCTTACTAACTACAATTTCTCCATGTGTCATTTTATATAGATCAGGGAAAATGCTTTCTCATTTTCAATCAAAATATCAATTATTTATCAGGGACTCATTTTCAATCAAATCATCACATTAATACATATACTATTACTGTCATGTCAGCACAAAACAAAGGTACACAGACCAACTAATGTCTAACAAGTCGACATGGAGAGACTAATGATGATAAAAGAGAGTAAACATCTCACCTGTAGCAATAATTTGGGGCTGACCATACTGTTAGGACTGTTTCATTAAAATGCCACTTGTAGCCTTCCATGACAAGTTGATGTGCTCGACATATCAGGTCTATATTGTTAGCTGTGTTAAACTGGGAGACTACGTCACTACCAAACAAATAACCTGCACCACGTGGACTTACACCCCAACCCTGCATATCTAAAACAAAAAATTCCATTTTACATACAGGGCCATTTCCAAAGCAAACATATCAAAATAACAGATATCTATTCACATATAAATCCATGTCAAAACTATGGATTTCAAATTTGCTAATTCCTTTAAAATGCACTTATATGCCCCAAACCAAGATATCTGAAATCAAACTTTCTTTCCAAAATCTTTTTTACACTATGAATATGCATAAATTTAAAACTGATGAACATACATTTTCCCTTTTTTATTTGATAAAACAAGACAACCTGTCATTACAAATAAATCTTGTAGGCATTTAAATGTTGCATTTCTTTATACAAGTCAATAAGTGTTTGACATACCCTCAGGGTCTGACCAGAGAAGGTCACACATTGGACCGTCGTGTGGAACTTCTTGTTTTCTGTCTATAGATCGTATTTGGTCCAATGTCTGTATTGATGGTGATAAACCTCCATGTACACAAAATATCTGCAATAACATAAGAATTGCATGCTTTAAAGCTAGTCTTTAAAGTTCTTCTCGACTATAATATATGTCAATGAGATTTTTTAACCTTACCATGATAAATACTTAGTAGTATTACTAATATCTGAAATGAACTTTCAATCTGCAGTTATCGAATTTAGCACTGGCCCGGTGGCCCATGGCCAGTGAAAATTAGTTCAGGCCAGTGTAAATTTTAAGAAAATTTAGTTAAATATATAGTAGAATAAATTCAAAATTTGAATTCAGGCCAGTAATTCAAAAATCTTAAATTCAATGACTGAATCTGGCAGAGCCATTTATGATTTTAAAAGAAAATTTAAAGACTGAAAAGCAAACAGTGCAGGCCATGATAGATGGTAATGACGTGCCATCTGATTCTTGTCTCTTGCACTACTGTTACATAATGATTCCTATTTATAAACCTCACGCTTGAATTGACTTAATGAATGATGCACATAGTGAATAAATTTAGTTTTAAAGTTACATAAATTCCATACCTTTCCATCTATAATGGCTGACAAACTAAGGTAGTCGAATATTTCTGTACAGTATCTCCATACAGTTACTGACCCATATTTCCTTAAACATTCATCATAAAAACCGTATACTTGTGTAATCTGCCTACTTTCGTGGTTCCCTCGTATCAACGTTATTCTGTCTGGGTATCTGACCTATAATAAACACCAGTAAAACTTTATAAAATGAACTACAAACTACTCTGAGGACAAAACATTGCTTCATTTCAGGTCTACCAAACTACCCTCTTTCTTAAATCATATCCCTACATATTTTGTCTTTCTGCTTTTCCAAAACATTTTCTTCACAATATATATAGATACAGGTATGCAAATTTTTTTGGGGAAGAAACGGCTAAAATATTAGCAACTGAAGTCCTTAGCTCAAAATGACCAAAACATTAGCAAATGAGGTCCTTTGCTCTAAAATTATGCTGTAAAGTGGCTTTAACTGCAGCTTAGAGAAATTCAAATTCATTTGTTTTAATCACCACCTTCCTGACTCTTTTTATTTAATGAAAATGTTTTGAATTTGGAACAATCAAATAGGAGTGATTTAACTAATAAATTTCAACCCTTATTTGAAACTGAAATTGATTAGTGTGTTCAGTCTGATCAAGTTCTATACTAATGGCTGACAAACTTTAATAAGACAGAACATTAATTTACAGAGATTCAGCAGCTTAAATGTTAACAAATTACTAATACAGCTCAACAAACAATGAAGGAACTGACAGACATCACTCATGTTCTATATTAATTATACAATCAGCTAATCAGTAAATAGACTTTTTTTATAAAATAAACTATCTCTCATTCAAGATCATGAAAGGCCATAACCACTCGGCCGTGCTGCCACTTCAAAGAGTTCCTTAAGATACCAATCTTCAGCTCTACTGAGTTGCTTGGCCACTTACACATTTTATCCCAAATTAGTGGGCAATTCTATACTGTGATATATATAAAATGAAAGCAAAATAAGAAATTTATTAATATTTGATATGATTTGCATCATACAATTGAAACCATACAGTCTGCTGTTAGTAGCATCATATCTCCATACTGGACTTTCATCTTAATTTAAAATACACTGACTTAAGTCTTACGAAGATCTAGTACATGTACTTACTTTTAAAGCTAATAAAAGTAGAAAAGTTTCTACACTGTAAAATCCTCTGTCAACAAAGTCGCCCATAAATAGGTAGTTAGTGTCCGGCACATCTCCACCTACTTTGAACAACTCCTTCAAGTCATAAAACTGGCCATGTATATCTCCACATACCTGAAATAGAATTCAAATATACGAGGGCTGTCCGGAAAGTTCGTAGACAAGGCTATAAAATTATTATAAGCAGTCACATCAATATGATGTTTGAATATTTTGCTAAAGTATTTATCTGCTACATATTTCTAAATTAAAAAAACATGATAAAAGTAACATTCGCAAAGCGCTGATCACCATGGCAACATAATCAACGAATCACGGAGCACTTTGATTTCATGACGATAGCTACACGAATAATAAGTTGCTAAAAGTTGTAATTTTAATGCAAACTCTCGTTTTAATTTTGTGACATTACAAGATACTATTACATAATATTTAGTGAAAATTATAACGTCATACGCAAATAAACAACTTGTTAACGACGATTATAGGCAACGAAGGTGCATAAATTTTGTGTTGCAAAGATGACGTCAAATTCACGGACGGAGCAACGTAATGATATTTAACTTCATAGCAACGCTAATAAGGCACCAACTGAGATTTTAATATTTACTTTAAAAACAAAACCAACCATGAGATGTTAAAGGCAACTATGTTTTAATGTCAAACAAGATTATGAAACGGCGATGACAGTATATCGTATAAGAAACGCTCCAGACGACAAAAGAGAGCATGGGCAAAATATCGTATTGTGCGTTACAACATCCTTTTGACATCTCACACATTGTATGGGAACCAGTGACACTTTTGTTTTAAAATAATATTTTAAAATATGAAATTCATAAAGTAAAAGCATTATAACATGAATAAAGTATACGCCAGACAGGTAACATGGCTGTTGAAATCGGAAAAAATTGAATAGCGGGTAAACATGAAGTTAATTTGACGCCGTTGACGTTGTCAAAGTGCTCCATGACGATGTATATATGTTGTATGTAAATGCTGTTAAAATACAAACGTAAGTCACAGTTCAGTAATTTTTGATAAATGTGTTCGCTAGATATGTATATTTTTGCTGACAAAATTTGTACAACGTATGTATTGTTATACAATAAAAAATGAAGAAGTATATGAACTTTCCGGACATCCCTCGTACATCTAGAACTTTTAGAAAAAATAAATGTGACTGATTAACAGAAATGGTCAACCTTTATAACAAAGTAATTTAAATGTTTGCAGCTAGCACTTGACATACACAAGAAAGTTTGTCATATAACTGAGTAAACTGACAATTTGAATAGATACAAAACACACTTACTGTGACTGGTGAATCAACTCTTTGTACATTGCTCTCCTCTACAAGTATTTCACGTGCCTTTGCACATAGTGACTTCACTTCACTTTCTTTGATTATTTTACACTGGCGAAGCTGCTCAATTTGTCTGCAAGACAAAATAATATAATGACTCAATCATTTATCAGTTTTGAATTAGATTCAATTTTTGTTCAAAACCAAACAAAATAATAGCCTTTGCATCATCAACATTTTGATTCACAGTCTTTTAATGTTCATTGTTGTGTAATTTTACATATGATAACCATCATAGACAGCAAACCAGTGATTTTTTCACTTCATTGGGAAGAGGCCTTAGCTTCTTGATTTTGGGAAAAATTATTGCTAAAACTGCTGATTCGGGAAGTAAAAAAGCTGGTTTAAGTTCAGATTTTTGGGAAAACTGCATGATTTTAAAGAAAATTTCAATTGGGAAGAGGCCTTTTTTCAAAGTCTGTTATATAAGTAGGAAAATCACTGCAAACTTTTATTTGTGGTATATATTCTGTATACTTAGAAAATTAATAAAAGTGGAACAAACAATCAACACAGGACTTTATTTAATGATGATAACTGACGTTTTGAATCTCACAAGTCTTCATCAGGGTTATAAAATATCAATTTGTTGCAGAGTTGCATCTAGCTTTATTTGTGCATATTTTTTGCAGATCGCCCATTTTAATGAAGTCAATGTGCACCAAGTCGCTCATCTAACAAACTTTTAACTTAATTCAGGTAATCTTCATCGTATCTTGAACAGTTGTGCCATGTTTGTTTTCACTCATGGTAATTGCTAAAATGCATACTAAATTGCCCGTAGCAGTTGACCAGGCATTGTATTGATGGTTTGATCTGCGCACTTTACAAGTATTCATCAATATTTGTTTTTTTCTTTTTCCGTTGTGGGGCGGGCAGACGAAAGCTGTCAAAAATGCCTGAACGTAAAATAAATGAAATCTTTTCGGTACCTCATATTGTTAGGTAAATGTATGCCCCCCACATTTTTTTGTTGAGTGCGGGACAATCCCCAATAATTTTGAAATTCTAGATGCAAAACACTGATTTGTAAATTGTTGAAATCTAAACTTTCTATGAACTTATTATAAAGAAGAATTTTTTCTATGTAATTTAATGTAATTTAAGCTTATTGAGATGTAGTTTACTAGTTATAATACATGAAACAGACACTCACCTGTCTAAGTCACTGACGTCTGTCATCTTATTGTAACTGGAATACAAAACAAAATAATTGTATTACATTTCTAGGACAAACTAGAAATGTGTCCATGGGCCATGGGTGCCCCCACACTCCACTGTTTTGTCAATCTTATGACTTTTGGTCAAATATTTGTTTGGCTACATGTTTTACAAGTTGAAAACTAAAAATCTTTTGCTATGTAAAGGGTGAGAACTTTACAAATACTGAATAAATCCATAAGCACATCATAAGGTGCATAAGTACACATGCTTACCAACATTCTTTCAGGCCTAAAGGTCAAATACTTTTTGAGCTATGCATGAACAAGTTGGTTGATTCTTACTCAAGCAATCAAAGAAAAAATAACACAACATAATGAAACGTTTTTAATAAGTCAAGGGCAATAACTCTACAAATACTGGATAAAACCACAAGAGAAACAAAAGGTGCACAACTACACATACTGATCAACATTACTGTCATGTTTCATGACTCTAGGTTAAATACATTTTGAGTTACGTATGACAATAATGAAAATTGCAAGTTTTCACTAAGCCAAGGGCAATAACTCTGACAAAACATATAAATTCACAAGCTAAACCCCAGGTGCACAACTTCACATGCTGATAAACATGCCTGTAAAGTTTCATGACCTTAGGTCAAATACTTTTGAGCTACATGTCACACAAGTTGAAAGTTGCAAATTTTTACTAAAGTCAAGGACAAAATTCTCTACAAATACTAAATAAATCCACACAAAAATACCCAGGTGCAAAACTACACATGCTGATCAACATTTTTGTAAAATTTCATGACCCTAGGCCCAATAATTTTTGAGCAACGTGCAACACAGGGGAGGAACTGGTAAGGGAGTAAATAGTGTGACTACCACCTATACAACGCCATGTTGAGTTGCAACATCAGTATAAACCTGTCGCTGTTTCTTTGTACTGGTTTGGACTGGATATTCTACAAACAGGTTTTGTTTCTGTGCTTATACAAGTCCAGAACAAATTTAAGACGCCTTTGGTCCTTTGCTGCCAATTTTCCTGCGCCATTTTCATTTTAAGAGCCAAAATCTCAAGAGATCTCTGCCTTTCATATAATGAAATATGAAAATTAATACGGGGAAGTCAAATCCACACAAAAATACCCAGGTGCAAAACTACACATGCTGATCAACATTTTTGTAAAATTTCATGACCCTAGGCCCAATAATTTTTGAGCTACGTGCAACACAGGGGAGGAACTGGTAAGGGAGTAAATAGTGTGACTACCACCTATACAACGCCATGTTGAGTTGCAACATCAGTATAAACCTGTCGCTGTTTCTTTGTACTGGTTTGGACTGGATATTCTACAAACAGGTTTTGTTTCTGTGCTTATACAAGTCCAGAACAAATTTAAGACGCCTTTGGTCCTTTGCTGCCAATTTTCCTGCGCCATTTTCATTTTTAGAGCCAAAATCTCAAGAGATCTCTGCCTTTTATATAATGAAATATGAAAATTAATACGGGGAAGTCAAAGTCCGCCCGGGCTTTGGCTTGCCCGGCTATAGACTACACGTGTATATTTAAAAGAAAATTCAAATTAAAAAAAAAAAATATATATATATAGAATTCTATACCTATCAATGAAATTTTCAGTGTCAGTTCTAGATAGGCGCCGCCATTTACAATGTAACTCAATGATAAAAGGCGGTGTATTCCGATAACGTAACAAACCTCAACTTTTCGGATTAATAATAATCGTCGAGTGTTCCGAGTGAAAACGGAAGTGGGTACATATAATACCGAATGACACCTTTAAAACGGAAAAATGAAAGGATTTTTTACCGACTTCCCCGTTCATAGGCTTTGCCTATTTTCATATTATATAATAGAAAAATTTTTAGGGGGAGAACTGACTACATATTTCAAATTTGGGAAGAACTGTCAGGGGCAGAAGAAAGAGAATTGTCTACATGTTTGAGGAGTAAGACTTGTACATGACACAGAGATCTCTTTCAGGATATAGTCACTATAATACAATGACTTTTGAAATAAAATAATCAGAGAAATTATAATGTGACTTGCAGGCCAAACAACCTTCTAATACAGAGATTTACAAGTTTCAACAACAACAACAACAACGAAATCTTGGTGAACAACAAGCGATTACTACGTTTTCCATCACATTTGATGCTTTGAAAAGTAATCGTTATATGTTTTAGAAAATCGACTGAATTTATTGTAATTTGGTTAAGTTCTAAAATAGAAAATGAACTTAAACTACTTATAAATTACCTAACGTAAAATAAATTTTATCGATGAACTCTCTCGCTGCTTTGCGTCACTGAATCTCGCGTGTTTTAGCGATATTTATTTTACCCCAAAGTATAGAAATCACCATTAGGAATTATGGAACGGAAAAGATGAAATAAAAAAAACTTCATTTATCAGGGAGTTTATATGTATTCTAAAGCTCTACGTCCGTGTATGGCAGGCAGCTGACTATAAAACGTTTTTAATAAATAAAAATATAGATTTGAAAAAGTTAATAATGAAGCATCCGACCGACTGCCGCTGTTCTAAGCTTTTTTCTTGTTAATTATCATCTTACTGGTCGAAAGTGAAATAAATTGTAAAAATTATGTACGTTTGAGAGACAAAATTCTCATGCATTTTCCCACAATATATTCTGCCTATTTATGAAGTTTTAGTTTGATTCATGTCCATTTCTTCTTGAGTTATGCAACAGATAAAAAATTGTATGGAAAAATTTGTAAGGGTAAATGTTGCTTGCTACTAAAAACGTACGTAACTGTAAAAACAAAATAAATGAGGTAAATCAAGGTCTGGCTCACTTTAAATTTCTTCGTTGTTGACATTCATTAGAAAATTGTCAAAGATTTAACCGTTCTAAGGTGTTTTACCATAAATTATTTAAAGTTCTGTATCTTGACGGTAATCATCTTGACCCTCAGATTTTCTAGAGATCTGTAAAATTAGAGGTTTTTACTTCAATCTTAGCATTTAGCTTAAAAGGCTCAAATGTTATGCATAAGAAAGAAAAGGGAAAAACACCTGTTTCATAATTTGCAATAAAAGATTTAGAACATGTGAGATGCTTATATCACCGGATGAAAATAATGAATGTCAAATAATTTATGATGAGGAAGCAAAACGTAAACAACGAGATATTTTGACCTCCATACATAATACTATACAGAAATATAGATCGATAAACTAAACAGTGAACAGAACAAAGGAAAACTTTCCAGAAATTCAATAATTTGGCAGTTTTTCTTTCATCAATAATTTCTTATTGAATCCAAATGATAGGATTACAGAATATTTTTTAAATAATCTTGACTGTGGCTGTTCAATTATCTTAGAAGCCCCGTCAAAATAAACCTAATACAAACTACACGTTCAAGCAGGGAGGTAAAATAGAACAAATAATCCTTAAGGAAAATAGGATTAATGAATATGTGGATGTAAAGAAAACATTAAACATACAATGCGGATAAAAACAACAAATAAAAACTGTACATAAATACACTTTTAACCCTTGTTAATAAAATTTAAGATTGTTTCTAAATAAATAAAAAAATAATGTGTATTTTCTTTTATTCATACTTATGCTTGTTTGAACGATTTCGAGACGTTTCGGCCCCAAGACGTATCCTGTCCTGTTTGAATGACAGACTATTCTCTCCCTTACCAGTTCCTCTCCCTGACGGTTCTCTCCCTAACCGTTTCCTCCCCTGACAGTTCTCTCCCAAATTTGAAACATGCAGACAGTTCTCCCCCAATTTTATTTTTATAAGTTATCATTTTAGTTTTGACTTAATCTAATAATATCTCTTAATGAAGATTATTAAAAGAATGTGTTTGATATTAATAAACTGCATTTTATGTTTTATGTTTATCAGCTGAAAAGTGTTTGTAAATTTAACACGTTTTTCATTATTTTAATCCTATCAACACCTTTATTGTGAGAGATATAGATCATTGGACAGTGATTAATATACGCCTGTAATTATGGTAAGGTCTAGCTTGTGATGTTCATTTATTTGTTTAATAGTGAATAAGGTGGAAACAAGTATGTTCTAGAAAATAAATAAACAACAACTGGTATGCAAACACATTCCACATTTACTTTTTTACGAAATTGATTTAAAAAATGTAGTCATTAACTTGAAACAATATATAATACCAAATAACTAATATAATACTTATTCATCAACGCCTTTTCACAGCTATTTTAATCTAATCAACACCTTGATTCTTGAGTAATGAATTAATAAACACCTCAATTATCACTGACAGCAAACTTAATACATACATCATTACATGTGTGTATTGAACTCCTTTTATCATTATACAACAGTTTAGCAATTAGAATTTATTAATCATTTTTTGCCTATAAATTTCATTTTTATTTATTAAAAAAAATATAAATAAATAATATCTTACGATTATTCTAATCAAGTAAATTATTCATTAATTATTTTCAATGACTAAACTGTCTAAACACATTAAAAAGTATACATTACATCTAATTAAAAAATCAGAATAATTAACTAATATCATCAATGATCAATTATTATTATTATATGTTAAAAAAAAAAAGTTTAAACATCTAAATACTTCAATAAAATATTTATTTCTCTAATTTATATTAATTTTTTATAATAAACTTACCGATTTATTGTTGCTGATGATGCTAACAAAATTGAAACTTGATTTAAACATCTGAATACTTCATTAAAGTATTTTCTCTCTAATTTATATAAATTTATAATAAACTTACCCATTTATTTATCATCTAAATACTTTAATAATAATGTAATAATAAAAATAAGAATGGGGAGGAACTGTCTGCTTATTTGCAAATATGCAGACGGTTCTCCCCCAAAATAGGGAGAGAACCGTCAGGGAGGAAACGTCAGGGTAGGAACTGGTAAGGGAGAGAATAGTCTGACTACCGTCCTGTTTCCTGTCCTGTAAAACGTCCTGTTTCCGTTTGGACTGTGGTATTGGCGGGAAATATGGGAAAGATACTGATCGCTTAGATATGGAATTTTACTAGTAAAAAACCGGTCGGTCTTATTATCCCAAGATACCTCAAGACTACCTCGGAGACTTTCTGGTTGAATAGAATAGAATAGAATAGAATAGAATAGAATAGAATAGAATAATGTTTTATTACCAATCATGGGCCTTCTCAGGCATACAATTACATAAAATATCAGTACATTAAATGTACATAAACAAAACAATAATAAGATAACATAAGCTAATTCTGATTTGATAACACAATTAACAAAGGACTAGTAACTATATGTATTCAACAAAGGCATTTTAAATGACAACACATAAAAGAAATAGAATTTGTAAAAAAGCTCAACAATGACTAACCCACATTATCTTTTGAGATGTACATTGACAAAGACTAATTAATGATGTTAATAAATAACTACAATTACTTATTATGCATAAAAGTTCTATTATTGTTGTACTGTATAAATGTATTTGACTAAAATGATTATTTATACAATCAGCTATTGGACCTATAAACGCATATTAACATGATGATTGTTTTACACATTTGAATGTATTTGACCCCTCACTAGTATGTGGGAA